GTGAGAATTTACTTACCGCACATAATACGAAAATTTACAGTTTTTTTTTTGTTTTTTTTTTATCAAACTGTAAACTCTACCATCACCAACTTAATATTATCCCCCACTTAACTTACAGAAATAACAACGACTAAATCATTTTAAATAACCTATATTTCTGTCTTTTTTTTTTTTTAAAGATATCCGAACGAGTTAAAAATTATATCTGACCAAAAGCAACATGGAGGTTCTATGGAGGAAGGACTATCTTACATTATTACCGGCGATCTTGTTTCTGTTTGTCCTTCTCAAATATTTCTTACGGCGACTTACTGTTGGGGGATACAATCACAAGTATGTCTTGATCACAGGCTGTGACACCGGTTTCGGCAATCTCCTAGCCAAGCAACTAGATTCAATGGGTTTTAATGTTTTTGCTGGTTGTTTGACAGAGAAAGGTATCTCAGACCTACAAACCAATTCCTCAGATCGACTCAGGGCTTTTCTTTTGGATATCACGAAAGTAAATGACATCGAAAGAGCGGAAAAAATGGTTAAAAAGGAATTACCACCAAACAGAGGTATTGTCTTTTTTTTTCGTCGTTTTTTTTTTTTTGTTCTGTTTTTTTTGGGCCATTAAAAATCATATAAAGATGTGAGGTGTGTGTTCAAGCCGCATTGGGAACTATTCTTTTATTTAAAATTTCACGGTGTTTGGTTTGAAGTGGAGTTATCATTTTCGATCGCGATTATTACTGATAGAGTAAATTAAATAGAAAGTCAGTTAATTTTTTCGAACAGGAGATATTATTGGTCCTAACCTGGCATCTCGCTTTCAGCCACTTCCCCAGTGCTGCAATGCAGCTTTTTCTATAAATACTTTCATAGTAACTGTTTCCAACTTTCCTCTATTGTACCTACACTTTACAAATGTAGTACTAGATTTACGGCAAGGTTTCGTCATTTTAAATTGAAATGGCTAGATGTCACCGTAAGTTGTATGCTAACAGTTTCTTCCATCGCACTTCTCACTTGTGGGACTCTCTTCCGATTTCTAGCTTCCCAGTTAACTTTGACCTTCAAAAATTTAAATGTAATGACAATCGTTATTTTCTGTCTTCTTAAGTCTTGTTCTTTTATTATTCTCTCTCCTTAATAACGTTTTTTTTCTCATTCTAACGCTCAGTAACTCTTTGCGTCTTAGTGTCTTTATTGTCTTGCCTGGGGTGAAATGATTTAAAAAAAAAAAAATGGAGATACGAGTTAAATTACAAGTGATATTATACAATGAACAGACTATTTTATTGCCTTAGCAAACTAAATAGAAAGAATATAAAAAGAGTTGAATGAAGTTGTGTTTATAGAGATGTTCTTTTTCGAACGTAAGTCTATAAAACCCTATTAAAGATGATGGGATACTTATATTTGAGAAAATTGACTCGGTAGAATTGAGTTTATATATTGTATTTGACAGTGTATAAGACGCACCCCAATTTCAGCAGGGTAAATCAAGAAAAAATTAGTAATTAGTAAAATTATTAGTAAATGGTACATCCTAGGCTATATTTATGAGGTATTATTTTGGTTAAGCAAGCCATGTTTACAATTAATCGAAAAATAACAAGAAAAAAACACGAGCCGATAAAAACTTTATTATATCCTTTATATGATCTGAACAACCTGCGTCTTGTAAACGTCTTAGTGGAATAAATAGGATATAAAATTCTGATTGTATTTATACTAATGCAACCGGAAATTATTAGAAGAAAAATATTAACGAAACAAATATATTTTGCAAGTATATAATTTGAATTTATTGCATATAATTTTAGTGAAACAAAGTACTAATGTTAAACTTAATGAAATTAATATAATGAATATTATCAATGATAACAAGTTTAATCTTCATAATAGACATTTAAATAATGACAATAGGTCTATGAAAATTACTATAAAGTTTAAGCTAATAGGAGTTGCCAGGTAGCTCATTTCGGCCGACTATCGCGAATTTTAAACCTACATATGGCATATAAGACGCAGAGGAATTTTAAAAGGTATTTTTAGTAAAAATAAAAGTGCGCCCTATATGCAGTCAAATACGGTAGTGAAGTAACTTTCGGACACAATGTTGTGTACTGTGTTGCGTTCAATGCAACATTAAGTTTGCAGGTCACCATAAATCCCCACCCCACCGGGAAACGAGACACATCCAATTTATAAAGCACCCTTTATCTAAAAGTCAAAACAGAAGGAGATACTTTGCGGACTTTTCTTTACAGACAACTTTATATAGCGCCATCTAGCGATTGCTAACAGAAATTTCTTGGAAGATAAGTGAGGAAAACTTGTCTATAATTAATAATAATGACTACTTGTCGGTTGTGGAATATAAAAATGGGCTGCGAATTACGATAAAAAGCGACGATAATATTAACTATCTGAAGTAAGTCATAATATTAATGATTCATCTTAGGACAATTATGTTATTGCCTAGTCATTGGGTTTGGTTGGTGGGTTTTACGACATATCAACATGATAGGTTATTTAGTGTTGAAATCTATTTGTACTTCAGTCTCTGGTCAATCGGTATTACGTTTATACTTGAGCCCAAACGCAAATATTGGCCGCGTTTATATTTGAGCCCTTGAGAAAGCATTGGTCACTCGAATCTTAAATATTCACCCGATTGGTGGTCCCTTTTGCGCAGAATCTTACTCCTTCGGACGAGATATAGTCTGCATTTTCAAGGGTCGGGCGACAGCGATTATCAATACGAGAAGATACTTACTTGTTAAATGTGGTTTCTCTTGTTCAAAAGTGTTTACGGAAATGAAAATTCCCGTGGGGCACCAGTGGTAATTAATTCAAGGGAAAATAGAGTAATGTGTAGAGAAGAGAACATAACCCGAGGAAAGGATGCCTAGTGGTAAACTATTCATTGATATTTGGGATGCGTTCGCCCAGAAGCAAAACAGAAATAATAATAAACAGATGAATATGAAAGAAATCGATAAAAGATCGATAAACTATCTCTATTTTAAGCCAAGAACAAAAGGGAAAACATTTTCTTTAAAATTACTGAATAATCTTATAATAAACATTTGATCGTGTCCGATTTATTTAAAGCTGAAACATGTTTTGGTTTGTAAGAATAAGTCTTTTTTTTCTTGCGAATGACTATTGCTTTGGCATTTTTTTTTCATTTTTTTTAAAGTGAGAATTTTTCCATTTACAATTCCTACTATTTAACCCATAGCTTGGGAGAGGATGTCGATTCATACCTAACCCAAGTATATTTCAGCGTAAGTAAATATAATGAACTGACTGGAATTCGAATTCGGTTCTTCGATTTCTCATTCAGAAACGCTATCATTTACACCAACCGCACATCTCCAAATTAACAAAAACAAAAACCAAAAGCAGAAGAAACTTGGAAAACAAACTACTATTTTGGGTAATATCCAGAGAGCATCAACACAGATTGACATGGACAGCGACAGGAGAAAAATCCCGGGTGCTATTTACACTTTCACCCCCCACCCAAAAAAAAACTAAGAAACAACCATTTATAAAATGAAAAACTTATTTTTAAACTAGTTTTTTTTTTTTTAAGTTTAACTTCATAAAATTAATTTAAAATAACAACAGTTGGACTGTTGCAATTATTAATAATTTAATTTAATTTACAAACACTAGCAATGCTTTTAAAAAGCTTCTGTAAATGTGTTTATCCTGTCAAAAGTTTCTAAAAAGAAAGTCAGAAATATATTGAAATGTATTATTTAAAATTAAAATCCACAAATTATGAAACAAATATTAGCATAAAGGGGAAATCTATTTGTATTTGTACTTTTTAAAACTAAAAATAACTGAACACAAAAAACATCGTGTGCTTGACAGTATCATGGGGGGGGAGCGAAAGTGTCATAGCACCAAATCCCATAGATTAAATAAAGGGTTCTGTTCAAACATCTGAGACCTGAGGTCATAAAGGTCGAAACGTTGTGATAATAACAACAAAGATAGGGACAATAGTCTGAATGTAAATCATGCATGTAAATAAATAATAATGACATGGGTAAAACTTCGACCAATCACTGGTTGGCATCTTCAGGACTAAAGTCAGACTGACGCATTCATGACTGCTACATAAAATCGAAGTCTCCCCAGCAAAAATTAGCAATCCAATATTTTTAAGAATGGAAGTAACAAGTTCTGTATATGTAGACCATCTAATATCAAGTTGTACAACCACATCTCCAATTGAAAAAAGCACTCGTGCCATGACAAATTTTATCAATATTGGTCGTTTATATTTCAATCTATAAGTACCGTATAGCCTCGCGTAACATCTTCATTTTGAAGCTAATTTTAAGAGGGTCGCATCATGCACGTAATATAAAATTAGCGTATGTACTGCTAGGCCTGGCTACGCCGTTGACCAAACTAAATATCTATCTGCTGTAGTCTAATTAGCTACAAAATTAGGTCAAGGGTCTAATGAGACGCGTGTATATACGGTTTACTTCGTAGGTTGCCCTTTTCGAGGGGATTCTTACTCCTCTAGACGGGGTGCAATCGGTGTATTTTAAGTCATGCTGACATGATAACTAGTAAGTATAGAACTCCCAACTTCAGTCATGATTTGCAAGATTAATTAATGAAAAAACAGCGGTTAGTCTCTTTAAATTTATGTACTGGATTCAAAGTTTTCAAAAGTTCTCAGCAGGCTTTTCTGAAAACTAGGCAATGTTGAAAAAATCGTTTTTCCCTGAATTAATTGATTGATCGTTCTTTTACGGTTTATCAGTCTTTTGAAGGTTATTTAAAAACCGAAAAATATTCTTGGAGTTTAAGAATGTACTGGAAATAATTATGTTTTTTGTGATACAAGTCCTACTTGCAGGGAAGAGAAGAAGCCGATTCATGCCTTTCGCAGTGGTATTTGCATGTATTTGTATATAACGACCGGGTTTGGAACACGGCTCTCCGAAATCTATTTCCAAACCGTTATCCATTCTTACGGCATCTGGTATTCCCAAGCGGTCACCCATTTAGGTACTGGCCAGGCTCGACGTTGCTTAACTCTGATGATCGTACGAGAATAGGCGTTTCAACGTGGTATTTTTTTAATCAGTTCCCCCCCAAGTAAGGCGATAACGCCACTAAGACGCAAGAGGGCTACTGAAAGTGAAAGAAAATAATTTAAAATGAACTGGAAACCCAGTAATAGTATAGATTTGAGATTTTAAGACGGAGACGTTAGAAGTATAGAGTTTAAGTAGAATTTAGAAAGAACCAGAAACCTAATCCTAAACAGGAAACAAGGGATAACACCCCTACTCCTGTTCAAAAACCGGAGAGGAGTGAAAACCGGACGATAGTTGAACCTATCTAAAGCCTATTTTTCGCTGGAAGTTTCGTACATACGTAATCATAATTAAATGCTTATTAATTATTTAAGCATTTTTTTTAATTGGTTCTTTTTTTTTTTTTTTGGTAATATTTTGAAGGCTTGTGGGCGTTGGTGAATAATGCCGGTATAATTGGTCCGTTGATGTTTCCTGACTGCATCTCACGTGACGATTACAAGCAGCTGATGGATGTCAATTTGTACGGCACAACTGACATGACGAACGCCTTCCTCCCTCTCTTACGGATAGCACAAGGGCGAATCGTGAACGTTGGAAGCGTGTTGGGAAAGGTTTCTATTCGTCTCTGTGTCCCTTACTGCGTCAGTAAATTCGCCGTCACTGCCTACTCGGATGGCTTAAGGTAGGAAATATCTTTCTTTTATGAACACATGCACGCACATATTTTCATATACGGACGCAAAATAAAGATATACGGACGCAAAATAAAGATGGACGACTTTTTCATGGCTAATCTGCGTTCCACGTGAGCTACTTTGACGAGACAATGAATAATAAAAGGAATATATATCAAGTTAGTCTAACGTACTGAAACTACAGTGTAACCCGTAAGAGTTGTCGGGACCGGAGAAGAAGTCTCTTATATCCGGGTTTCTCTTATATCCGGGTCTGGTCTATTTTATATACATTAACACAGGCTCCAATTTGGGACCAGAGAAAATCTCTCTTATATCCGGGTTTCTCTTATATCCGGGTTACACTGTAATACATTTTGATAATTTTTGGCTTGCTAGAATGCCATTGTCTGAACCATAAAAGACATTTACCTAGTAATTAAAGGATTATTTTATTAAGCAACATAGAATTTGGGACATTATTCAGGTTACTCTATTTTTGCATCAAAATTGGTTAAACTGCTTATGCACAAATTGTATAAATAGTTAATTTAATGTAGATTAATGGAGGAATGGATAGCAGCTCGAACAGAGGAATGGGAGAGCCGAGTTCTAATTCCAGTCGGGTTCATTACATTCACTTACGGGCTAATATCATTGGGAAAGGTATGAATCTAGCTCTTCTCCTCATCACCAACTATGGGTAACTAGCAGCACAGACTAGGTTCTACAGCCTTGGGTGGCAACCAGTCTAGGAGAAATAAAAACGAAATTCAAAACCAGCCTGGGGAAGGTTAGGCTCCGTCAGGCTACCATTGCTACTACGGCTGCAGTACCTGTGATGCCTCTACGAGGGTTACGGCTTAAACAAATTCAATTTAACAGAACTATTAGAATTGGTAGAATGAATTGGTATGAATTTACTTATTTGGTAACTCTTTTTATTATATTTTACGTTTTTCTTTTCTTTTGAGTAGCTGAAACAACACTAACGTTAATAGATTCAGTAAAAATTTTAGTACAATTGCTTGTAACAACAGTCAGCATGTAAATAATTTATATACTAAAATTCGTATAAATCAAGCCAGTTGTTTTTTAATAGCTTAATCTACACTGACCTCAATAGTTCAGCTGCCTAAGATTTAGTTAACTGTCATACTAAAGTTTTACTAAAATTCATCTGAAATTTTTAGATGAGAAGTTATTATTTAGACTATTTACATGCAGACTATTGTCTTCAACTTCGTTGGAATAGTCACAACGTTTCTATAGTTGTACCGAAACGACGAAGGTCGGGGAGTACAACGGCCGAAACGCTGTGATAACAACAACAAAGATGAGGACAACTGTCCACATGTAAATAGTGTAACTAGTAAAATTCGTAGAGATCAAGCGGAGTCACGTACAAGTTTCATCAAGTTATTTCAACGTACATAATCTAGTAGAATTGGTAAAAAATAACTTATTTAGTAATTCATTTTATTATATTTTACGTTTCCTTATTCTTTTTATTTTTTTTATTTGAGCAGCTGAAGCTATACGGACCTTAACAGGGGAGTTACAGTGCTAGACTGTTCGCTTCTGTCGAACTCTCTGCCTCGAGCGGAGAGGAACTCGGACGAAGCTTTGCCGCAGGGCAAAGATTCGTCCGGGGAAGTAGACAGGCCCTGAACCCGTTTAGGCGGGTTCAAAGGGAATATTTTGGGCCGAGCCTACGGGCTTGGACTACCCACAATAAACCGGCCTTGTGCCACATACACCCTTGTGGGTGGACTGTTAAATATTAACAGGGGAGTTACTAAAATTAAATTTCAATACAACTGCTTATACTAAAATTTATTTCGTTTTACTTTTGAAATTTCTATTGTTGTTATTCTTTGGCCATTTTCTTTATTTTTATATGACTTGAAGTTGAACAACTCCATTGAATCAATAGACGCATCTGCTGCAAGGAAAGTTTGCTGTGTCGTGCCAAAAGGTTTTTTTTTTTCGCCAGAGTCCATCTTACATAACTACAAATCTATCATTCGATCGTGCATTGAGTACTGTTGCCATATATGGTCTGGTACCACAGCTGTTCATCTCGAGGTTCTCCACAAAATCCAAAAAGAGATCTGCAATGTAATCGATCCTGACCTGGCATCTCGACTCCAGTCACTTTCACATAGATGTGATATGGCTTCCCTCTGTCTTTTCTACAAATATTTTCATGGCAACAGTTCTGTCGAGCATTTTTCCCCTGGTACCCCGACTATATAAATTTAAGCGAGTTAATCGATTAGCATTTAGGTCCCACTCTTTTGTCATTGAATTAGTTAAATGTAACCGCCACTTCTACTCTAACAGCTTCTTTTCTCGCAATTCCCGCCTGTGGAACTTCCTTCCGTTTTTTTGCTTCCCTGACAACTACAATCTTCAAAAAATTGAAATGCAATGCCAATCGCCATTTTCTGATGTCTTGAACTCCGTTCATCTTTTATCCTTTACTCATTCCCCCTATACACTATTTTTCCTCACCTACACTCTATATAACCCCCCTGTGAACCAGTGGCATTCCCCCCTTGTTTGGGGTGAAATGCTTTAAAAAACACAGACATACACATGGTATATGCATTCGTGTGGGACTGTTGTAAAATGGACTCAGGTACCGAACGACACACCAGTGGGTCGGGGGTAATAAATACAACCTATGATATCCTTGCCTCATATATTAAACATTGTTAAAACAAAGTCGCTTGTACCAAAATTAATTAAAATATAGTTTTGGAACAAGGGAAATGAAGCTTGGCAGCTAACGTGTTAATAATTATCATTAAACTTTTATTGGTTTTGAAAGCTGTTTTTCATCTATTTGGTTCTCTTTCTTTGATATTATAAAATTTTATGAGTGTTGTTGAACAATGTCGGCAGAATAAATCCGTTGATATTTCCTGTTTATATCACAGGAGATGGAAGTAAATTTGTAAGGCAAATTTTACATGACCAATGTCTTTCTCCCTCTGCTGTGGCTAGCACAAAAAAACGAATCATGAACTCTTGTAAACGTAGAACCCGACCCTCACCCAAGTTTTCCACTAATGATCATCCCTATATTGCATTTCAGTTCTCGGTTTTGTCGGTGTGCACCAAAAGCTGGGAAAGGGCGCGATGCATGCTCACAAGGTAACATGATAAAAGAAACACCAGGTCGAGAAATAAGAATGCGAATCCTGTTTCTCATATTATATCCCGGGCTTCGTCTGCTCGTCCAGATGAGTAGGTAGGTGATACTTCTGCTATGTCAGCTCTTGCTCATCTAATGATCGCTGACAATACGAAATAGAAGCTGATAGAAGCGGGCGGTGGACACGCCCATCTCCCGCCAAGGGTGAACCAGAACTCAAACGTCACGTTTTAATATAGACCAGCACTCGGATATAGCCTATTTCCGGTTTTGTTGATGCTTCATCTTATCGACCTCTTTACTTCCCTCTTCCCTTTGGTTAAAATAGACGTCGCTTAGAAAGCCAAACTTCAAAATCCGCTGGTTTCTCAAACAGAAACGCGTGAGGTGATTTTCTAAGCGTAGCTTACATATGGCACAAGGCCGAAAGTATGTGGCACCCAGTGAGGATCGAACTCACTACTCAAATGTAATTGATCTAGCGAGACAAGCTTGTTAACCATTACACAACGTCGAAGTGCCCAAACAGAAACACATGAGATCGAGATAAAACCATCTCTTTCAGTTCTACGTAGGTGTCCATAGTATCACACACAGAAATCGCGCTGGCAGAGGTTTCTATTAGCTTCAAACTCGCTACTCAAGCGAGGATTTGATAGAGTTGTGGATGGTTATTCACATCATGGCAGCAGAAATTAACCTCGTGTTCACGGAGATAAAAACATGCTTGACAGGAAATAAAACGTACAGAAATAACAGGGAAGCATGGTAAATTATGTGTTAATTTCATACAATTTATTTATATTTTTCTTGTGTGTATTGGTGTCTATACTTTTTAAGTTACAATTGTTTTATGGTAACTGTAATAAAAGGGAGAAGTCATTTCGTATTATTACACGCCATATCACAGAGAGAGTTTGGACACGTGTTGCCCGTACTAAAGTTCGTTGTGAAGAGATTGAATTTAACGTCTTTTGGCAGGATTTCCGTATTTCTGACAGGAACAGTTTTTGTTGCATGCTGAGAGAGTTTTATTATTTTTATTTAATTTATTTTAAACAAAGTTTATATATTGTTTTATTTTATTTTATTTATAATTTTCATTATTATTATTATTTTATATTTATTTATAATAATAATAACAATGCCTCTACATAGTCACTCGGCAACACGAAAGGAGAGTAAGCAGATTG